AGGAATAATTGTTTATACAGCAACCAATAGGGTTTGTTGATCCCTATTTCCCTCAGCATGTTTGCAAATTACAAAAGTTTAAGGTTAAATGCTAAATTTGGTCCCTCAACTTTAGTGAGTTGCACATTTTTGGTCCATCAACAATTTTTTGCGCTTTTTTGATCCCTCAACTATACAAAATGCATTATGTTAATCCTTCTGTCAATTTAGACCGTTAACTCAGCTACATGGCATTTTTTATATTTTTTTTATGACATGGCGAGCACAACTTTAAAATATGCTTATCTAGACTTTTCTTTTTTGATGACATGTCATCTTTTTCACGCCAAACCCCTCCAATGGATCCAAATTGCCTGCAAACTGATCTCTCATCTTCACCCTTTGCAAAATCGATCTTAACCAATTTCTTCTTTTTCCATGAATGCTCTCTCATCTCCACTCCATCTACAAAATTGATCTTAACCCACCCATGTCTTCTTCTTCTCTTTCTCGAGGAAACTTGAGCTACTGGGTTTCAATAAAACCTCAAACATGGCAAATCTTATCAAATCAAACTAATCCTTCAATAAACAATACCAATCAAACTCTAATCGAATTTCAACAAAAATACAATCAAACTTTAATCAAATTCAAACAAAAATGCAATCATATTATAAATCAATCTCTAAATTTATTAACAACTGGAAATGAAAATCGAAAGAAAAACGAAAAAACAAGAACCAGCTTTCCAAGCAAAGCTGTGTTCGGTTGAAACCCAGACTTCACTGGGTTCCAGCGAACCCAGCCTTGGCTGGTCTACGAACCCAGCCAAGGCTGGGTTTCCACCGAACCCAGCCTTGCTGGGTTTCAACCAAACCCAGCAATTGAAAATTTCTCTTTCTCTATTGAATCTACAACAAGATAATAGATAATTAGCAAGCATACAAGCATATTTTGCATCGACAAGTAAGAACAACTTAATTACCAGTTTTCCAAGTCTCTAGCTGCTTCTTGACTGCCAAAGCTTGGAACTTTACTGGCCAAAACCGGAAACCGAAACGGAAATTTTTTGTTTTCCGCAAGGAATAGTGAGAGAGTTTAGGGTTTTGACTAGTAGCAATAACGGGCAAAGGCGAAGCAAACGGTT